GTGTCACGGCGCTATTGTTCAAAAGGCTTCTTCATCTGCTCTATTTGTCTGCCACCCCTTAACTTCTTGTAACACTTAATAAAAATGTGATACAAAAAAATAATTTACAAGATAACTACTTCACTTTCAAAAAGTGTAAATATAACTATATATTTTTAATGTAAAATTACATTACTGTTAACCAATTAACAGTTTTTTACTATAACATTTTTATAGTCTTTTACCATTAAAATCATTAATCATATTTTATAGTGTTTCAGAATTAAAAAAAACAACCCTAAAAGACTGCTACCATTTTGATTGTAAAATGGTAGAGAATCCGTTTAAATATCTGTGTCACGGCGCTATTGTTCAAAAGGCTTCTTCATCTGCTCTATTTGTCTGCCACCCCTCCTGCTATACACACCTTGAGCAAACAGATCTGATATTGTGTAGTATGTAGGCTACTCTTTATAATGTTCTTGAGTTTCAGCTAAAACCTCGTTTCAGCTAAACCACTGTTAAAATGAGAATCAGACATTCAGTTACTGTGTCTGATTAGTGAATGGTTGTAACACTTAATAAAAATTTGATACAAAAAATAATTTACAAGATAACTACTTCACTTTCAAAAACTGTAAATATAACTATATATTTTTAATGTAAAATTACGTTACTGTTAACCAATTAACAGTTTTTTACTATAGCATTTTTATAGTCTTTTACCATTAAAATCATTAATCATATTTTATAGTGTTTCAGAATAAAAAAAACAACCCTAAAAGACTGCTACCATTTTGATTGTAAAATGGTAGAGAATCCGTTTAAATATCTGTGTCACGGTGCTATTGTTCAAAAGGCTTCTTCATCTGCTCTATTTGTCTGCCACCCCTCCTGCTATACACACCTTGAGCAAACAGATCTGATATTGTCTGGTGTGTAGGCTACTCTTTAATGTTCTTGAGTTTCCTCTTAAGTCCTCGTTTCAGCTAAACCACCCTGCCCCAGTAAAAAGTCGTATGGCTGCTTCTATACAATTACTGTATATCTTGCATGAGCATCAGAGAACAAATAATAGCCTACCAAATCCGGTTTTTGGGGGGGCTGGGGTGGACCAGCCTCACCTTTTATGCTACAATACACATCATTGACTGGAAATATTTGTCTACTTATGTTTGCATTTATAACGCAAGACTTCTGTAGAGACAAGGCATCTGTTGATTTTATTTATCTGTACCTCAGGAGAGAGATGCAAACACAAGCAATGCAAACGGACTCGTTGCTGGATGAGAATATTTCACAACTTTGTATAATGCTCGGTTTTGACTGGACCCGAGCCGCTGAGAGTTTAGCTCTAACCCTGAAAAGAAAAACACACACCTCCCTATAGCCTTAGTAATCCTGAAGACATTGACTAGCCTGTTCAGGTGTGTTTGATTAGGGTTGGAGCTAAACTCTGCAGGACAATGGCTCTCTAGGACCGAACTTGACTACCCGAAACTAGTGGCGCGCTCTTGTTTCATTCAAACCAGCTGTGTCTGATTAGTGAATGGTGTCATGAATAAGCAATGATATTGGCATCAGTGACTGACATATTTGCTTGATAATAAACATACATTGCAGAAAATGCAGTGCGTATATATATATATATATATATATATATATATATATATATACATACATACATACACACACACACACACAATGGAAGTCATTGGGCTCCAATGTTGGTTCTGTGTAAGAAGTCAAGTTTGCAATGTGACTTTGTAAATGATGACAGAATTTTCATTTTTGGGTGAACTATGCCTTTAAAGTATTCTAGTCCTGTTTTGAATGAATAAATAAATAGGCTACATATAAACCAGCCCACAGATGTCCAGTAAAAAGTCGTATGGCTGCTTCTATACAATTATATCTTGCATGAGCATCAGAGAACAAATAATAGCCTACCAAAGCCGGTTTTTGGGGAGGCTGGGGTGGACCAGCCTCACCTTTTATGCTACAATACACAGCATTGACTGGAAATATTTGTCTACTTATGTTTGCATTTATAACGCAAGACTTCTGTAGAGACAAGGCATCTGTTGATTTTATTTATCTGTACCTCAGGAGAGAGATGCAAACACAAGCAATGCAAACGGACTCGTTGCTGGATGAGAATATTTCACAACTTTGTATAATGCTCGGTTTTGACTGGACCCGAGCCGCTGAGAGTTTAGCTCTAACCCTGAAAAGAAAAACACACACCTCCCTATAGCCTTAGTAATCCTGAAGACATTGACTAGCCTGTTCAGGTGTGTTTGATTAGGGTTGAAGCTAAACTCTGCAGGACAGTGGCTCTCTAGGACCGAACTTGACTACCCGAAACTAGTGGCGCGCGGCTTACACGTGCTCTTGATTCATCAAACACAGCTGGCGCCATCTTGCGCCTGACTTATTGTAATGAAAATCAGAGTACTTCAAGTCCCCCTGTAGTCAAATATTTTATCCCTTAAAACTTATCTTTGATCATCAAAATGACATATTTAAATGTTTTTTTCTTGTGAAAATAATTTTCTCATGCCTTAAAATAGCTTGAATGTAACTCTACACCCTTGCCTCGTTTACTATACGCGGATCTATGAATATGCAAAT